GTGCTGCTGCTGCTGCTGCTGGCGCTGCAACGCCCCAGCGGCTCTTCCACTTTGAGGGCCTGGGGGCCTCCTGGGGCCCCTCAGCCTTGGGGGCCCCCGCGGGCTTTTGCTGCAGCACTTTTGTTTCTGCTGCTGCGTTGCTGCTGCTCCCCTCCTCTCTTGCTCCTCTTTTGGCTTCCTCCGCAGCTGCTGCTGCGTCTCCTGCTGCTCCCACCGGCCCATTTGTCGTCGGCTCAGGAGCAGCAGCAGCAGCAGCAGCAGGGCTGCTGCTGCTGCGCCGGCTTCCTCTGGGGCGCTCCTCAGCAGCAGCAGCAGCAGCAGCAGCAGCAGAGCTCTTGCTGCTGCGCCTTTGTCTGCTGGGGCTTCTGCTGCCCTCAACTTCGCAGCAGACACCTCTGCGCTTCCTGCTGCTGCCCCAGTCCCTGCTGCTGCTTCTGCTGCTGCCTCTGCTGCTGCTGCCTTTGCTGCGCTGCAGCTCCTTCTTCTCCGTTTGCTGTGGCCGTGGCCTGCGCTCTTCTGAGCGAGAGCCGCTTCTCCGGTCTGCTGCAGCAGCAGCAGCAGCAGCAGCAGCACGGGGCTCCTCAATGTCCCTAGAACGCGCCTGCCTGCCCCGGGGAGTCCGCGAGCCCGCTGGCCGTCTGCTGCTGCTGCTGTTGCTGCGGCTTGCTGCTGCGGGCCGTCCCTGTCGTTCTCTTCTGCTGCTGCTGCTGCTGCTGCTGCGGCGGCTGCGGCCCTTCACCCCGGGGCTCCCGGGGATCCGATCCTGGGATCCGATCCCGCGCGCATGCAGTGTGGGGCCCCGTCTGGGGGAGTGGCTTCTGCTGCTTCTTTTTCTGCTGCTGCTTCTGCGTCTGCTGCTGCTCCTCCTGCTGCTGCTGCTCTGCAGCGGGCCCCTGCTGCTGCGCCGGGGCCCCGGGGACGCGCTCAGGCGCCGGGCTGCTGCTGCTTCTCTGTAGCTGTGGGGGCCCCTCCGTCTGCTGCTGCTGCTGCTGCTGCTGCTTCTTTTGTCTCTACTGAGGCTCCTGCTGCTGCGCCGCCGCCCCGCAGCCCCCGGACTTATGCTGCTGCTGCGGTAGCCCCTGCGGCGGGGCTGGGGGGGCCC